TCAAGAATAGTTTAAAATTCATTCATGCAAATTTTCATAAAATATGACACATAATTCTGTAAAAGAGAAATGTAGTTTTCGTAGTGTAGGTTCAGTGAATAGCTACGTTCGCGTGTACTGTGAATAGTTACGTTTTCTCAGAGTATCTCTGTGGTGGAACTCAAGGTCAAATATTTCTATCCCTTCAACTTCAAAGTTCCGACCATTACTTTCTTTTCTGTATTGTTCTTTCTTCTGTGACAATAGTATTTTAGTTGTGGCAGTATTTGATTGAGCCTTCGATATTTGCTTTTTATTTGCAGGTTTATTGCGAGTTTTATGATGGCAGATACGAAAAAAAAAATGAATAGAATACAGTTTGGATTACTTGAAGTTTGGATTTATTCCATCTCTATGAAATCAACACTTGCCGATGTGTCTCATATGTGAAAACGTATTCAGTAACGATCCTATAAAGCCTTCAAAAATGGAGGAGTGAGTAATAAAATTTGTATCATTTCATAAACATTTATGTAAATCGAAATGTACCCATTTTATCAATTTCTTTTATCTATCAAATCAAACAAGATCACAAGTATTTATTTTGTTATTAGATATAATTAAATAAAATGAAGTAAATAATATTTCCATTGTATAATAATAAGCTTCCACAAACTAAAACTTTTGAACCCCTCTTAGAAAAATACTTACATTATAAGATTTTTTATATTTTTATTAAATTAATATTTGTGAATGAAAAACAATTTATTTTATCTTTTACTGATATTTTAGGATGGATAAATAAATAACCATATCAGTTGTTTATGTTTATAAGGTTTGTGAACACAAACACCATTTCTCTGTATTTAATGTTCATTCATTTAGGTCAGATGATGGCCCTTGGGCCTAAATTTTAATTAATTAATTGTATGTGGGATTGATTTTGTTTTTATCTCACAATTGTTACTTTATTTATTTCGATGTCCAGTTAGAACGTAACAAGCGCACTCCTTTGAATCAGCACATATAACATAATTCAAAAGAAAATCATAACTCAAAAACGGCAAGCTACAGCTACAATTTTTTTTATCAAAAACATTTTTAAACCCTTTGTGCTTATTTGTTTCGCTACATGTACAGTCAGCACAATCCAAATATGAACGTTCTTTGGTTGTCATGAAAAAGACTAGTCATTGCCATTAGCCATTCCCCTTTCAGCATATTCTTTGTAATAAAAGGCTTATTTTTATTTTAAGAAGGATAAACATTTTATAATACAAAATCAAATAAATTTGCAATGAGAAATTATTCTTAAAATATGCACCTAGATGCAAAAACATCTGTATGTGCAATAGAAATAGATTAAAACTACACAAAATTAACAATACCTATAAACTAAACATTTGATGATCAAAAGGACATAAATATATAAGACTAGCTATTTATAATAAATTTGAGAGGTATAAATATTTATCAAATATAAATTTTCTGATCGCTTTAGAAAAGGTTTTTATGTTTTTTTATTTGTCTGATATTTTCACTTAAAGAGTTTTATACTTTTGGCCCAATTGAAGAAATGAATCTTTTATTTCCATCATATTTAAAGAATGGTACATTTAGCATTCTTCTCTTTTGTTTTCGGGTCATATAAGAGTGGTTTACAAAAATTTTATTTTTCAGTTTGAAATAGAACATACAGCTATAGTGAAAGTATAGTGATCTTACGTTTGGAGTGGATTCGTTGTATAAGAGGGTTGTTGAAAACAAACTACTTTTATGATTTATTATCTTTAAGATATAATTTTGAATGATACTTAAAGGATGTAGGGCATTGTCATATAAACCACTCCATACAATTATGCCATATCTAATTAAGGATTCAATGAGAGCAATATATATCAAGTGTAATAACTTTTTATTTACAATGTTACGAATTAAATAAAATTTATATATAAGTTTTCTTATTTTGTTTGTTAAGTACTGAACATGATCAGTCCATTTTGTCAACTATTATTCCCAAATATTTGGCATTTTCCACTTCTTTGATGATGAATTTGGATTCTTCAATACAAATCTGTTTGAAGTTAGGCCTGTGAGAATGCCATATATACTGTTTTCGATATATTTAAAGATAGTTTATTATAATCCAACCAGTCTTTCATAATTCTTTCCCCTTTAACCACTTTTGATTTTACAGATTCCCAGGTTTTACCTTCAAACATTGATACGGTGTCATCTGCATAGGATATTGCTATACCATTTATATCTAAGTTTAAAAGAGAGTTGATATAGATGATAAAAAGAACTGAACCAAGGACAGTTCCTGTGGCACACCTATTTGAATTTTAACAGGATTACTAAATTCATTTCTAATTTTAACTATCTGAGTTCTCTCATGTAGGTAGTTTTTAAAATTTTTTAAAACCAATCCTCGAATGCCATAATGTTCAAGAACATTTAGTAGTAGTTGCTTATGAGGAAAAGTGTCAAAAGCTTTCGCGAGGTCGATAAAAACACTTATATTTTTATTTTCATTCACAAGACTGTTTTTTATATTAGATATCAATTCAAACATGGCATCACAAGAGCTAACACCTTTTTGGAACCTGAACTGTTTAACATTTAAAATCTTTTTATCAATTAGATATTCGTATAATCTTTTTTTTACATTTTTCAAACATTTTTGCAAAATTTGTAATCAGACTTATTGGTCTGTAATTTGACACATCTTTTTTGGACCCGTTTTTAAAAACTGGATTTACAATTGATATTTTAAGTTCTTCCGGTATCTTACCTGTTGTAAAGATTAGGTTTATAATGTGCATTAGAGGCTCTATTATGTATCGGTGACCAGTTTTCAACATTCTAGATGTAATTCCGTCAATTCCAGGAGCACTGTTATTTTTTAACGAATTTTAATATTCTATTAATTCATTTTTATTGACAGGATTTAATGCCATTGAGTTGATTAGAGGTGGATATCTTATTAGGAAGTCATCTACAGAATTGATTTAATTGCCATATCTATACCAATTTTTTAAAAATAGTTATTGCAGTAGTTGGCCATTTCTTTGTCATTTGTAAATTGTTTATTATTGTTTAGAATATTAAAATCATTGTTTGTTTTATTGTTTCGGTGTTCGGTTATGGATTGTAAGAATTTTATAATCTCGGCAGGGCCATGGCCCCCTCCCTGGAGCCACCTTTGCATGAACTTCTGGGATACCCTGTATAAATCATTGTTAATTGTTACAATACACAACGGTTTTTTTTATCCTGCTAGAGGGTGCTAAAATCAAAAATACTGTAATGAACAATAATATTGCTGAATTCCCCATAAAATACCTTTTCAATGATGTGTCATACTTGGTACTTTCCCTATTTAAATTATAATGGTTAGAGTGTTGTATAAGACAGAAATGATGTACGACATTTGAGGATATTATATCTATTTTTGATCTTCGTTTCCAGAGCCTCATCCTGTATGTATATGGAAATTTAATCATACCTCCTAAACATCTAATCTATTATAAAAATGTATATTCAGTCAGATTGACTCATATGATGTTATTGTATATTTTATCAATTGTAATCTATCATTACTCAGGCTAAATATTAACAGTTAAATTTAGTCATTTAGTTAAATTTAGAAGTTATTAGATTAAGTTTAAAAAAATATATTATTGATAATAAATTTCAGTAACATATTAGTTTTGTGACCAATACAGTTTATTTTCTAAAATGTTCCAGTATACAAGTTCTCTGAAAATCTCATTTTAGAATATTAATTTAAAGCACATGAACATTAATACTTGTGATATTTTCCGTTGTAGGTACTTAATGTATGTGAACTAAAAAAAAAATCAAGATCATATCTTGAGTTTATATCTACTTTCTATTTTTTAATTAAGTACTTATGGTGTGTTTTCTTAGTTCAGAAACAAGTGATACAAAATAGTTTTATTTTATTAAAAATTAAAAAAAAAACTATAAAAATAAAGTAAAAATCAAATGAAAAATCAGTTCTTATTATGGACTTTATAGAAATTTTTTGGTGTTAGGTATTAGACAAAAATCAAGTTGTATTGAAAACTACATCTTGTTTGTCAGTAATTACCTGATACAGTAGGATTTGTAATTACTGAAGGTCTACCAACTGAATGTTTTCACCTTAGATTTGCAAAGAACTTCTTTGCCCTCAGTCAATAGCATTTTGTAACTTTTTAAATTTATATATTACACTCTCTTATCAACTCATTAATACCTATATTTTTACTAAAAATGGAACACTTGTAAATCACTCTTTTTATTTAAAATAGACACATTTTAATTTTCTCAAATTCGTAGTAGGTAAACGTTGGGAACACTGATAAAGCTCAAACCAATAAACAAAAACATTGAAATTAGTTTTAAAGATAAAAAAAAATTGTATCGATATCATGAAATAATATGCTGCCCTCCTGAGCCAAAAAGCAGATCTCAGTTGAAGCAAGTTTCAAGAAAAAACACATTTTTCTTAAAGTTGTTTTCTCTTTATCTTGAGTTGAAATAAAAAAAAATAATTTAGGTAGGGTCCGATTACAATTAGAAGAACACAGTTACGTCATCAATTGGCTAAGTAATTAATTGGTTATTGCGGCCTACTGGGGGTTTAGTAGAGTGTTAATATTATAGGAATATAGGAAATATTGTATTATACCTAAATTTTCTTAGATTTTTTTGTTTTCTTTTTATGTTCTGAGCGAAATTTTGCTATTTTTCTTAGTTCATCTGCTGCGGAATTTTTCAAGCTAAGCAATTCGCTAAGTTGTGTTTTTTAAGGACTGCTTTTTGACTTAGGAGGTGGTTTGTCTGTAGTGTCATGTAGACTAGAGGGTTAACAATTAATAATGATATGACTGTTATGCAACACCACTCAATAAACCTAAATGTTTAAATATAGCAATACAAATTTCTTAATAAATATACTAATCAAAACTATACCTAGGTAAACCACATAGTTTTTATATTATTAAACATACCTGTGTGACAACAAAAGATCCCTTCCAGCTAAACAAAGGCTTATGAAACATTAAAAACTGCAACTTTAATTTTCCCATATCATCAGTAACTCTAAAACTGTCAGCCAATGTCGTTATCCAATTCACCACCTCTTCATTTGCATATGTTATTAGGCCTTGTCCAAATTGATGTTTTCCATCCATAACAAAATTCAAAATACCTTTTACTGAATTCTCTGTCAACAATGTTTCCTCGTCCAAGTGTACAATCCAGTCGTTATCACTGAGAATATTAACTTTTTCCTCTAAACAATATTGTAATGCCCTGGCTTTAAATAGAGCACCACTTTTTGTGCGATAGTCTGCAGGAACAACTATTTCACGAATTCTTCTATGTTGTTGAAATCCAATAGCTTTATCTGTTACAACTTCTATCAGAAAATTTTCTAAGCCTGAATCTAAACATTTGTTCATGTTCCTATTTACATTATTTTTAACTAACTGTGGAAAATCGCCCCTTGTGACAACTCGAATACAAATGAACGGGGCTAAAAGAGGTGACCCTTTTAAAATCACTTTGTCTGGAAAGGCATTGTAAAGTGTCAAACCAACAAAGTTAAAAAGTACTTGAGGTAGTGGTAAAAATGTGAGTAATCTTAAAAAATATAAAATTAAGGCTCCAATGATGCCATAATGAGTCCATGGATCTAATTCTGCAGTTGGAACAAATACACCTCCATTGAACACTTTAATTCCTCCTGCGAATATCTCGAAAAATAATATGACTGTAATAAAAAGGAGGCAATGTAAACAGTGTTTGGTTTTACTTGAAAGCATCGCTTCGAAATTCTGCGTAAAAATTAATCACAATAACACCAAGTACCTAGATCTCTAATTGTGTAATTAGAGATAAAGTATTAAAATCTGAACACTTTACACCATTGATAATCGTTGATTACATTATATATTTATATATAAAACTAAATTTAAAAATATTTAGACAGGACGATCGACCGAGGTGGTTGGTGGTACGATGGCCTGTCATTAGTGTCAGTGTCAAGACTGTCAAGTAAAATGTCACTTACGTCAGTTGAGATTTTGACAAATGATTAAGACTAACCGAAGGAATTTTCCACAATCTGCACATGAGCACTTTCCATATTATACGAGGTGCGACTAATAAAAACTAAAGTACAGATTATTACATGTTCTAATAAGAGAGGACAAAAAATACCTTTCCGATTGAAAAATTAATAATTACATTATTTGTGATCATTTTAATTTTTTATTTCAAACATTAACCCCTGAGAGTACAATATGGAACAATACACCATTGAAGTATACGTATAAATGCCGGAGTCAATATGTTCATACTGGAAATTTTATGAAGTTCGGAATGTTCCAACAGCTCAACTATTCATGCTAATGTGGCCAAATATTTGAGCGATATGAGAATATTGAATGGATGAGATATCAAGTATGCTGGAATAGATCTCTCGTTCTGAACAATCAGCTAAAAACTTTGACTTTATTATACAAATAAAGGCCGATTCTTACTAGGCGCTCAGGTCACACTACATTCACGATCCGCTCACAATCAAGGATGTGAGATAGTATTCACATGTTACACTCAACTGGCACTCCTTTCCCTCTATCTTATATTTTTTAATACCATATCGCGCTAAGTATTATTATTTTGGTATTTCGAACTAATTAAATTAGAGTTCATCAAAAGAATAGGAAAAATAAACGCTTTTTAATTATTTATTTGTATACACCGCAAAGATTCAAAATATCCGCAAAGAGAAAGACCGCGGTCAAAGATCGTGAACGTACCGTGTGAGCGAAACGCCAAATATGAATATTTCCATTTAAATATAGTGTGTCATAATATTTTAATACGCCTTAAGCGGAGCGCGAGTGGTTCGTGACTATCTCTAGTCTTCATACTCGTGACCAGAACTACAGTGAGAATCGGCCATAATTATTTTTTTTATAAGTTAGTGTGACTGTAATTATAGTGTTACAGTTAACTCGGAAGCATCAAAGTGTGGCACGATTCGACCAATTTTGAATAAGATTTATACATACTTCTAGAAAATTAGGGTAACGATTGTTTAATTTAAAAATAGTTTATTTATTTAAAACTGTTTATTTATAATTTATTTACAGCAGTAGTAATTAATTTATTTATTACTTAAGCACTATTTTTATATTTCTAATTTATTTACCACATGTACTTTATCGATGTTCCCACTGTTATGACTCGACTTGTGTTATGACTCGACTTCGACTGACTTCCTGTGCAACACAGCTCATTTATACAGGGTGTTCTATTAAGAATGGGACACAGAGCAACTGATGATTCTCTGATTAAAAATAAGACGTTTAAACGAAATATGCTTAGATAAAATATTACTGATTTTCGAAATACAGGGTGTTAAAGTTGAAAAATTCAAAAATTATTAACGACCCTAATTTTTTTATTTCTCAGTATAATTTTACTAAATTCGGTAAAAATCGTTGGTTTCATAAGATAAACATATCAGTAAAACAATCAGTTTATTAAACTTTAGCAGTGATGTACAACAGGGGTAAGTAACACTTTCATCCCCTCTAAATTTTACGCCACTGTCGAAAAACTTATTTGGACTATACTTTTACATTTTTTTGTTGTTTTTTAAGTAAATCATGTACTCTTGTTGGAAACTCATAAAGTGATTGGTTTTCGAGATATTCCCTCTCAAAGGTGGATATTCTGCATTTTATTTTTTTTTTATTTTGTAAATTGTGATTTTTTTTTATAAAATTACACTGAGCAAACGTTTTTGGTGTCATAAGATACACCAGTCAACAAAAATCAGTTAAATAAACTTTGCCAGTGGCGTACGGCATGGGTAATTAACACCTTTATTCGTTCTAAATTTTACGCCACCCTCCAAACATTTATTTGGACTATAATTTTGAATTTTTTCATAAATTTTAAATAAATCATTTACTCTGGTTTGAAATTATAAAATTAAAAAATAAATTAAAATGATGAATGTCCATCTTTTGGGACCGTATTTTGGGTATGCCGATTCGCCTCCTTATCTCTAGGCTTCATAGCGATAACAAACCAAAGAAAATTTGTAAATTTGAAAAAATTCTTCTCTGGGCAGGGTTCGAACCCGCGACCTATAGATCTCTGTCTCATCGACATAACCACTAGACCGCCGCCATAGCTAGCATACCTCATATTCCTCGCAATGTGACATGAAACATTACGTTTTTGTGGGTATGGGCGCTTTCGTCGTGTAACCTATATTTAGGATTTACAAACTTACATTAATAAGTCGATTAATAACATAATTAATAAATTATGATTTTTTCAATTCTTCTGGAAAGAAAAGAGAAAAAACCGTGGCGACGTTTGTGGGCGCCGGTAGGACCGGCGCCTTTCGGCGCTAGGATCGGCTCTTACCGGCGCTTGTAGGACCAGCGCACCGGGAAATCTCCCGATTTCCCGGTGGGCCCATCCGCCCCTGTCTCCTAGACTGAAGAAATTTAATTTCTTATAGAAGATATATCAGAGGAGACTTTAATAATTTCCAAAACATTTCAGTAGACACCTTTTCTTCTAAGGAAGAAATATCAGACTAAACCTTACTTTCTAAAGAAGAAACTTTACCATCCAAGGAAAATGTATCGGAAGAAACCTTTATTTCTAAGAAGGAAATATCATTATTTATAGAAGATAAATAACAAGAAATTTTATTTTCTATAGAAGATATTTTAGTTTCCAAATCGGATAAAATTTCGGTGCGGATTGCGTAATGACCTCGAGAATTCTAAGCGAGCCAGAGCAAAACTGAGATTTTTTTGCCCAAATGTTTTAAATTTATGTGTCTCATTGGTATATTGGGGTTTTCGAACAAACCTTAAAATTGGATTTATTTAGGTAACTCTAAGTGAATATATACAATAATGTGATTTAACATTGTAATAATAATAATAATAATATGTCTATGATCACAACCAACGGTCTTGTAGTAGCGTAGTAGCGAAGTTGTCCACGTTCTATTATTAATAAGTTGGTGACAGCAAAATTTGTCTCTTGTGTAGAGATAATTAAAACTTATTGGCCCAAAAAACTAAAAACTAATCACAAAATACTAAAAAAGAACTAAAGATAAACTGATATACCTAACTACATATTGTATATTTGTAATGTATATTGTAATGCCATATATGACATAAAAGTCGGCTATTCGCTGCTTGGTTCTAATAAACAGTGCTGTTTCCACACACTTTTTAAAGTATGTGGCTGTTTCTAAAGACTTGTAATAAGGTTCATTTCTTATTGTTATTATATATCTCCAGAATGTTTCAGAGCCCTATATAAATTTCAGTTGAAGTAAAATAAGTGTAGGTATCACTGCATGTATCAGTTATTTGAATTTTCATATTTGTTTATCACTCTCAAAGAATTGGTGTTTTATGATGCAATTTTTTGAGTTGAGATTATGTAGTAGTAGGAAGTTTTTTTAATTTTAATTCTTGGAAAATCCGACGAAGATACATTTTTAATTTCTACTTCATTCTATAAAGTTGTTTTTTATATCCCTCGTATAAACTTATGGCCGAATATTAATCTTGTAAAGAAGGATTATTACTCCGGTTAGTCGTTCGTCGTTTCCCTTTCCCCTAGTAGTTCCCCACTTTCTTTACATTTCATCAATATTGACATAAAACAGTTGTACCAATGGAAAGTTTTCAAAAATATGAACCATCAACCAATTGAAAAAATAAATAAGCCTTTTATTAGATCAGTTATGATGTAGCATAAATGTATGATAATAATTGAATATTATATTTTCTTATTTGACAATTTTTATATGTCTAGTTATTTTCCATGAAATTTTTGTTATATGAATTTTTTTAATATATGGACAACCTGTTGGCAACACTGGTTTACTGTTGGCAAAAGACTACGGCCTAAAAGGATATTTGTTTAATATTTTTTTCTAGAAATTAAGGTTTCCTGGAGTATTAAGTTGGATTTATTTTAACATTTTTGTTCAATTAAACCATACAGGTAAGTTATTTATTTTTAAAAAAGATCACCACACCTAATTTACAGGGTCACTAGTGAATATAATTTCGTAGTTTGACTAAAACATCTTTTTAATTTGCCAAATAATGTTATTCATTTAATTTGTTTTATGCTACTATAGGTATCATTTATAATTTTATTTTCTTATAATAAAAACTCTTCGTTTTAGAAATTGTGTCACTCCGCTAATTTCTCCTTTAGTTAGTATTAAACAAACAGTAGTAAGCTCTCAATAGATTTCTTAGTGTTAATCTTAGGACTCTACTTATTTGCTATCCTACGTTAGAGCTAAATAAAAATGCAAACATTTTATGAAAAATGAACTGACAAAACGTGTTTTTTATATAAATAAATAACGTTTGAGATCTTAGTTAAAAAATCATTGAGTTAAAATTACATGCAAATATTGATACATAATTTATGTAATGTGTATTTGGCATATTTTTCTTTGATATCCAAGCATCTTAAGAGATTATTGCAGTAAAAGCAATATTTTTGGGTTTATTTGTTTGAAGAATAAAATAAAATTGATAATATTAATTGAAAAAAGGCATATTTTTATTTAAAAAATTATTTGTCCTTAATAATCTGCACAAGATATAGAACTTAGATTCTTTTACAATAGATACATATGCTTAGTTTTTGTCATTGAGATATAATAAAGAGAAGATGCTATGATGGCACTAAAAGTGTTCGCACCTTTGCATTACACTCTTATGTCATGTGTCAAACTCGAGCTAGTGGAGCTAGTCAGTTTTGGTAAGAATAAATGCCATATTCTTTAAATAGCTTCATTTAAATGACAAAAACATTTTCATTCTGTCAATCTTCAAATATAAAATTATCGACTTCAAATAAATCAAAGTAAGACTCTATGCTGCCATTCTGATTACACTTTTCTGTCACTCAAAGTGTGTCCATCTCTCATATCCCTAAATAGTGTTTATCTCATCTCCACTTCATTCTATCTCGATGGTTTTTCTGTAATTAAAAAGTGCTCAAACTACACATACCAAAAGTTAAAATGAAGTTAGGTCCTAAAGTTATGCTTAAGAAAGTTTAGCTCTCTATAGATTTATGAACAGACACAGCTTAGGCACAGTGAAATAAACCTACCTAGGTGTAAGAGTGATATAAATTATTTTTATTTGAACTTTGTTTTCTTCAATCTACTTAACAAAAGAAGCTTATTTATGTCATTTTAGTAAGCTCTTTTGAGTAAATACTTTAAAACATAGAAGTGCCACCTCATTTTCTTGGCCTCTTTATAATATCTTAAAAAATAAGTAAAATTATTTAAAAAAAATATATTTTTGTCACCATCTTTAGAAAACTGTATATTCCTCATGAAGGACTTTAGAACCTACCTTCATTTAAACGTTTCAGATTATAAACACTTTGTGTAATTGAACATAATACTATTCTGGGAAATTATAAGGTAGTAAGCTTGCTATAAGGAGCTTGAATAGTCTACACAGGGATATAGCCACTGACTAAACTGTTGCAATCTACATGCTAAGTTCCATTAATACAGGGATCAGAGAAAGATCATTAGAAGAATGGTCAAATAAGAATTGATTTACTTCAGTCTAAGCTCCTTATTGCATATTGTGCAATTAAAACAGTCACTGATCAAGCTAAACTGAAACCCAACTGATTTGTATCAGTCATATACCTACCCCTAATTAGGTTCCTATAAACCATGATCTGTGCAACACTGAAAGGTGACCACTATCCAGTATGTGATGAAATGAGTATGGTGTTTATTCAATGTTTTAACTCCTACCTAAATCAGAGAACTGAGTTCAGTATTGAATTTGAACTGACAAGTAAACGTAGAGAACACACCTCAATTCTGTTTATATTTGACATTATTTATACATGAACCTAGAGTATATAAGATTAGTTTAAATGTACCTGATGTCTGACTAAAACCCAGAGATACTCTATTCCATATTGAAATTTTAAATTTGCCCATCTAAAAATTATTTAAACCATTATGAATACCTTAAAAAGCCATCCTAATGAAGTTGACATTTTCAATATTTAAAAGTCTAAGTTAAAATCATATGTTGGTACCTATTACCTCTATACCTTGAAGTATTTGTCCTCATTTCTAAGTGCATGACATCTTTGTATTTCTGAATTTTACACTGTGTAAATAGTCTTCTTAAGTATTTTTTAATATTTGTAATATTTGCAATTTTCTGTTTTATTTTCTATTTTTGTATAACTATTTGTATTATAAACTTCGAGCATATATTACTAGAGTAATCGTCCAAATGGACTTTGTTTTGGTACAGGGGGAAAAATAGTGTCCAGCAGTCCCATTGGTCTGTTTTGCTTGGCATGTCAAATCGTTCGAAATTGTCAGAACTGTCATTTGATTTTTGATTTTCATTAATTTCTAGCTTATTTTTGTAGTTTATAAGTGATTTTTTGTACTTTATTACTTTACTGATACAAATTTTAACAATGGTGAGAGTTTGTGTAAGTTGTAAATAGAAATAAGAAAAGGCATCATCAAGGGCATTTCACAAGTAAGTAACCATTAGCGTCTCTACCATTTTTTCTAAAGAAACATAGTACCTACATTTTATGCAAAAGGCCATTAAACATGAATTTAAAATAAATGGTAAATTTAGTGAATTAAATTTAAAGAACTTGTATTATGTATGAGGAATATTGTTTTTGATTTTGGACTCTACTGAAAAGTTAAAAAATAATCATAATTTTTCAATATAAACAAGCTTTAAGTCATTTTATCATGATAATGTTGAAGATGTTAAATCAATAATTTTTGTTTTTTGTAGGTTTCCAGCTAATCCTCCGAAAAAAAGCATTTGGTGAAACATATTAAAACTTACTCCAGAAAACATTTAAAATAGTGATGTTTTATGTTCCAATCATTTTTCTGAATATACATTTATGTCAAAGACTGGATGCTCAGGAAAAACTAGATTAATTCCAGGTGCATTGCCAACAGCATTTACTGAGGCCCCAGAAAAAAATGAATGTTAAAGATAAAAAACCCTGCACTTTTCTTGTGGGTTAATCATTCAAAATTTAAAATTTTTCAGTGTTGATCTGAAACATAAAGCCTCTGTTGCAGAAAAAGAAAATGCAGAATTAGAAAACATGTAACTAAGTACTTGTTAATACAACGTAAATTTTATTTTAAAATAATTACCTATTTCTACCTATATTTATTATAAATCACAAAAATTGACAACAATTATTTTGTATTAAATGTTCTTTAATTATGTAGACTACTAGTCGTTAAGAAATAAGCAAAACCTAATGTGAATTTTTAAGCTTCTTTTAATTGCACTCCTAGTCATTAAGAAATAATCGAAGCTTGAGACAGTTTTCCAATAAAAAGCTTCACTTATTTGTTAATGACTAGCAGTGCAAATGTACCTAAGTATTAGCTTGATTTATATTTGTAGTATATCGTTTAGTAATTTATTGAACATTGGTTATGATCAATATTTTTATATTTAATAAATTATTGGAAAAGTTCTTGTATTGTAATTCTCGTACACGTGTGTTAAGAGATAACATAAATATTTGTATAATATAACTACTATTTATTTTATATTTTTGATTTTTAGATATACAGGGTGGCTCACGCTCAACGGGACGGAGCTTTATGGGAAAACGACCAAAGATATAAAAAATTCGTTTGGGAGGAATACGTAGGTTACAGACGGCTACAATTTAAAATTTGTTAGATGTATACAGGATGTCCCACATAAGAGAAAATATACAAAGTTATATTATTTTTAATGGAACACCCTGTTTTTTATTTTAGAATTAAAAACTACATCCAAAATAATGTCAGTTAACTAAAGGTTCCCTATTACTATTATTATTAGTTTTCGATTTATTTGAATTTTTAAGGAAAAAAAGTCTCCCAGAAATTAATTGTTTACTCTTGTTTGAATAATTTTTAATGAACTATTTTTTTTTTCTTATGTGGGACATCCTGTATACATCTAACAAATTTTAAATTGTAGCCGTCTGTAACCTACGTATTCCTCCCAAACGAATTTTTTATATCTTTGGTCGTTTTCCCATAAAGCTCCGTCCCGTTGAGCGTGAGCCACCCTGTATAAGCTTTTTATCTTTTAATAAATCTGATGTTTCCAACACAAATAATAAAGTATTAATCATAATAATAATAATAATTTACTATTACTAGCTATCTACTTAAATAAAGCAAGTTTATAAAATATGTACATAATTTAAAGAATTTTGAAGGTATGTATCAAATGTATTATTTAATTGCAAACCCCGTAAAAATGATGCGACACTGGTAATAGTGTACAGGCGTTTCCCCTCATAACGTAAACAAACCCTATTGAATGCGGACTCTATGAAATATATATATATATATATATATATATATATATATATATATATATATATATATATATATATATATATATAGATTCGTCCTGCCGACGTTGTGACATCATGTCGCAAAAATGTTGGTATCTTTATGACATCCGTTTGCGATGTGACATCCAAATTCGGATGTCACAACGTTTTTGGGGTTCAAACATCATAAAGTAGGTTTAAAAGGGCGCCAAAAAAATTTCAGCTGGATGTCATAATGCTTAATTTTCAATTTTATGTATATATTTAGTTCCAGTGTATAGATGCGAAGGTGGCGCTCTCGTCAGTTGGTTTTGTATATTTTGTATATTAAATATTTCAGTCCCTCGACTATATAACATCCACCATTAAGTATATTAGAATTTACTCACTCGACTGTCTGACATCCAACATTCAGTATATTAAAACTTACTCACCCGACTATCTGACATCCACCATAGAGTATATTAGAACTTTACACACTAGGTTATGTGACATCCAAAAAATTTATTTTAGATATATTTGGATTTTCATTTTAAGATCTATTTTATGTTAACACATAAGCTGCCAAAATTTTTTCTTGGGCTTCGCATGAAGCCAAC